CGCAAGACAAACTCAAGGTATCCCCTAAAGGGCTACCTTTCGTGACTTGCTGCACATCCATCCTACATCTCACAAGAGCCCAATTAGCATCTATAGTCTATAGATCTAAGAACGGGAACTATACACAACAAGTGAAATCAAGTCTAACCACCTGTAACTTATACGAACAACTTGTTGAACCAAACCCCCATTGAAATCCATCGAGCAATCGTGCTTTTTCGCATACGGCCTCTGTTTTGGCAGCCAGAAGGCGATGACTCCTGATGGAACTCAAGGGATAAACATGTACATGTTAAGTCTTCTTCCTTTTTGCCTCGCGTGATTCGCATCACGTCCCCACTCTGACTCGCGTCGTTTCCACGGCGTCAACTCATCGGCTTCGCCATTGGCATGTCACGCAGCTCTGGGAACCTGAGCCGCCAAGAACGGGGGTGCCAAAGGAATCGAAAGAACGTCGAGATCCGCAGCACCCTAAGAATTCTGAACTCGTTGCTGTGAAAGTGTGGTGGCATCAAACTCTAAGTACGAATCCAGCAAATTCCACAGCAAGATTACAAAGAACATCTAGCAAGTAGCAAACCGCCTGACCGCCACTGATTTGCAAAGTGGTCATGTCAGAGTCGATCGTAGTTCGCGGGCGGAAGGGCCTGTAAATGGAGCTCTATGTCTCCTTTCATCTCCTTTCCATGGAAGTGTCGTCCATCGCCCTCTGAAAACCGGTCCATGTCCCACAGGTCCTTTGACGTCCTTTGACGGCCCGAACCGAACCGGGCGTCTCCTCCAGCCCTGCTCCGGCCGACGAATCCAAGGTCGATCTGAAGAAAGGGACCATCGAGCAAAGTTCTGCGGATCGTAGTCCACATCCCCCTTGGCCATCCTGAGAGGGAGATCTTGGATTTAAAAACAGTTTGATTTTTTGGGATGGTGTAAGGCTAGCATGTATAAGTAGAAACCGTTCCACGCCTGGTCTACAACATGCTCATTGCTCATGGTTTAAACCTCAGGCATCATCCTCAGGCCAAGCTGCCATAGCTTGTTTATATATATATATATGCACTAGCTGCTTGTCGGTGAGTTTGCTCAAACATGTGGTACCATTCCGAATGGGTTGGCTGTCCTGTCTAGTTACCCATGCCCAATTCGTGTTTCTTCGCCCCTCCCTGAAGTGAACATCTTGAAAAAGGACAAGCTCTTTTTCCCCATGCTAGTTCTCAGGGTCAACCGGACGCACATTGGATCTACTCGTTCTATTCCGTCACGTGGTGATGCACTGGGAGGGGTCTGGAGCAAGAGACCGTTCCTGCCATCGGATGGAGAGGGGTCCCCCAATCAGAAGTAGCCACCTGAGAATGGCGGTCATGAGCGGCTCTCATTCCTCCATGCTTCACTCATCAGCTGTTCACACGTCCTGCAGAATAGGAGGGCGCTAGACTCATCAGCCGTGCAGCCGTGCGCTAGACCCGTCTCCTTCCAGTTACACCAGCACCCTGCCCTGGTGCTCTGGTGCCGCACACGGTGCGGCAGAAAAACACACATCAAAGTCAGTCCCCTAAGAAAAAGCGGTCCAGAACAATAGCACACCAAGTCCTGATTGGAAAAGACATGCGCTATATACCTATATACGAACTCTGAATCCTACCGTCTGATCCGTTTGAGCGAAACCAAATCCACAGCTTCTCACCCAGGTACATGTGCATGATGATCCCATACCTCAGAGTCATTGCAAACGCCGTTGTTCCAAACAGGCCACCACTACTGGGGGTGCTGCTGCTGGGCAGGTAAAAACCACGTATCCAATATATCATAGACAATATATCATAGAATGTATTTGATATATAATATTTTAGAAGATGTAATATATAATATATATATATATAGTTGTTCTCTTAGAAAAATGCAGGATAATGCAGGATACAATCAACTTACAAGTTGGCACACTAGTATCACGCAGGTTTTAGTTAGCTGCTTGGAGACCCCAAATCAATCATCATCATCGTGGTCAACCAAAGTCCTCCTGATGCAGCGGAGCAAATAGGAAGGGCAAGGCCAGGCCCGCTGGCGCATCGACACCCCATCCAACATGACTATAGTGTTGAAATTCCGAAGCGCCCCAAGCACCCCGATGTTGCTCGCAGTCCAAAAACACTCCATGAAGAAATGACCACTTGGAGTGGTAAGCAGGAGTGTTTTACTTGGAGTGGTAAGCAAGAAATGACCATGGGGCCCTGGGGTGGTCCAATTCACTTGGAGAGGTCAGCAGGGACGCTCCTCGACGCCCCAGCCACTGATGTTCACTGATCATGCTCGACCGGGAAGGCGTCATGGACCAAACCTGGAAGATGGCATATCCCTCCGTTGTGAACACATATGGACCGGAGGATAAATATGGATAAATGGTAATAGGGGCAGCTCCAACCACTGAGTGGTTTTCTATCTTTCCTCTTCTAAGTAGGTGTCTTTGGGTGGGTCTTTGGGGCCTCCCTGTTCCACACCCAAATGGCTACATGAGATAGATGCGTGAGATTGGATAACTCTCTCATGGCCAAAGAACAAAAGACGATGAGAGAATCGGCATACGTGTTATTGCGGCGGTTCAAGAACAGTGCTTGCGGCACACCCAGGGAGTAGGGGTCTCACCGGGCTTCTGCCTGAGGAGTTGTTAGACCTGCAGCGAACAACACTATAAGATGTTTCTCCAGCAAGGGCAACTGGAAGTAGCTCTCTCATACATGGACATGGCGTGAGCACCCAAGACTCTCTGTCGAATGCACTTGTTGGAACATGTGCACCGTATATGTTCACTTGTTCTTTGTAATTGTACTTCCTTGTGAACTAGGTAGTTAGGTTCTGTGGCTACGTGAGTGATTGTCCGCTTTGTCATATGCAATATTGGTTCTATTACAATGTCCACCCCGGCTAAATCCAAATCTCCAATCAACAATCTCGAAATCGCATCACCAGCTCGGTCGGATCCCATCACAGCCACTCCAACTCCTCAATCATTCCACACCCCATGCACCTTCCTTCTACCCCAAAACCATCCGAACCCCTTCAAAACATCTCAAAAAACGACCAAGGCAGCGCCAGGCACCTCCCCGCCCCACCCGTCCCCTATGGCACTGTCTTGTCGGCCCAGAAGAGCACCAGTCGATCTGCCACCGGCGAAATGCGCACAGCACCCGTGGGCGTGATGACGCCCTCCAGTTGTAAGACACCGCCCAGCTCTTCGCGATAGTTCCTGGGGGCGGTGAAGGATGGAGAACAAGTGAACAGCAAGACCATCTAGATTCTAGATCACCCTCATAAATGATAGCCTCCAATATCCTCCAATAAATGATATACTGTTACTATCTATCTGTTATAGACGGGATGGACATCCATTAATTAATATAGATTCCAAGAATGTCTGAACAAAATAATGGGAACGCTAAGCGGGCTCTATTTCTTTTTGCCGCTCGTCACGGTGGCTTCGTTTCCAGTGCCAGCACAGTTGGGGTTTTCCATTGCTGGAGACGTCGCGCCCTCTGCCGGCCTTCTCCGTTTTCACCGTTTTGTACAGGCTGAAACGGTCAACCAGTGACCTTTGTCCATGTCTGTCGACCGGTGTTTTCTCCCACCTTAAGTTGAAGGCTTTGTTTTCGGCTCAAGAGCAGCTAAGATTTCTGAAGGAAACGGTAGTTGAAGGACTTGAAGGACCCACTCACGTATATAAGGTTGAAGATGGTTTCAGCCAACAACAACTCAATCTGCGGCTAATAGGTCCCTTTCATCTTTCATGTTGTTTCTGGCATGTTTTCCTTTGCAATATGGGATGCCCTCTATGTTGCTGTTCTATAAGGCTGCCCCCAAAGGGCTGCCACACAAGGCTGGAAGACTATTCGATGTCCTAACAGTACCACAAATCTCTAACCAAAACAGGAGCAACATCGACAAAGAATGCCCGTCAACCCCACTGGGATTCCCTGGGAGTGGTACAGTCTCCAGCAAGCAACGGATTTGAGAAATAGATCGCCACCAACTTACCTGAGCACGTCACAACGCACCCTGCTGATCATGGATCCTTGGGCATGTCACAGCTTCTGGGCAGGAATGTTAGGCTCTAGAAACTGAGTGACCGACTGGGACGGGGGACTTGCTAACAACCCCAAATATGGTCCTTTCCTTTCCTATCAAAATGGGGGTCAAGTCTGTGCTCTAATATTAGGTACCGGTCAGTGGAAATGCCGGCAAAAACCGGAAGATACTCGGAGTCTGGATGTGACCAGGAGGTCAAAGGCACAACTTTCCAACCGTGGGACGGTAGCGGTGGCAACCAAACACATATGACTCATATGACAATATGATAGTTGTCGACAATGCGGGTCTCATCTGGTCTACTAAGCCATACACTTAACCTGATGCATCCCGTTGCAACTTACATCCTTCAGCTCGACTTTAGGCGTGTTGCGCGGGTCACGGACAAATCCTTGTTCGGTCTGCCAGCCGTAGACATTGCTCACGCGCCGGTCATATCTGGCCCCCTGGCCACAAAGAACGAAAAGCTCAGAGATACCTCAGCGGCGTAAGTTTTGCACACCAGTATAACTATACCCCATAGGGTCCAGGTACCTCCTGAGGATGTCCAGGCCTTTGGCCCCCAGTTCGGCCCTTCTCTGGAAGTACAAACTCAGCTCCAAGACAAGGAGGTACCCGGACCCTTAGGGTACCATATCAACAAGCGCCTTATAACTGCATGTTTATAGACTCAAACTATCTGAAGCTCCATGTCGAACAAACATGATCCTTCACAATTAATGCTAAGTACTGAAAATGAACCAAGCAGGCTTCTCGCCGGCAAGCACATGCAAGCACTCTCACTGGCACGACAGGGCTGACGCAGTGCCGTGGGGCTTCGAAAACGAGTGGCCTTTGGTGTTGGAAAGCCCGCTCTCCGTCAGCTCGCCCAGGGGCCGGGCGAAGGACACCAGCAGGCTGCGAGCAAAGTTCACCACGGTGGGAGCGATCTCATACCTCCCCACAACACACAAGTATGCGAGTGTTCTGTTCTAAAGGACTTTTGGGCCAACACTGGGCTCATTTCAGCTGGACATGGTCAGATGTAAGATATGGCGGCATTGGTTCTCTGGCTTGGTTTGTTCCAACTGATCCATCTACGGAACACCAGCCTCCGTTTAGCAGCACAGGGGCTTCCGTTGAATTGGATCGAATTGACAAATACTTCAATTAAAAAAATGCTTCGCAAAGAATGAAGTTGTGAACAGAAAACCAAATCTGACTTCAAGTAGTCAAACTATAGTCCTTTGTTATAGTCCTTTGTCCTGCCGTAGCTGCTTCTCTACGTGAATCACCCTTAATAAGCCAGGTTCTAAGCCTTCTAAGCGATTCTCGAAATCAACCGCGGGAAACAACCAGCCCATCTCCGACCGAGACGAACCGGTCACTGGTTCGACATGCATTGATCCCTGAGGCAGCCTATTACACTGTTCGAACACAACCCGAAAAAACATCCCTTCCACTCCGAAGCCAACGGATCAGGTCAGTTGAATCAGGCGGACTGCGAGTAAGCCACGTGGGAAAATTAAACTACATATATATATATATGTATATATAAAAACAGTGAGCCAACCGGTAAAACTAATAGAATATAGAATCTAATAAGCGGTGATCCCATATGATCCCATCCTGTGCTCTCATGTTATAGCCCAGTGGCTGATTCTGAATGAGTTGTTCCATCCTTTCTTCGCCACTTCTGCCCTTGATTCGGTACCGGAATCGATGCTCTCGGTCCTGATTGGTGATTCCTCAGGTCCATTCAACGACCATAACGAACCGTTCGGCGTAGGCCGGACGTGATCATCAGGAAGGAGGCCGGACGGAGGACTGAATGACCTGCAATGATGATCATACTGGACCCAAAGAAGTCTGTGCCATGCTGTGGCGTCCCAACTATTACAATTACAATCTAAATGCACATTGGACAACAAACATTGCGATCCAAATGCTGCCCAGTTGCGATAGGGGCCAACTTTGAACTGCGCGTCGGATTCCGGCTCCTCTGGGTTGTCACGTTGCGGTGACACCGTTCTGTACAGGAAGGTCAGGTAGCCGGGCAACTCCAAAACCGTCCAAAACCCGTCCGCCAAAACTGGCAACGGGCAGTCTTCTTCAAGAAAGACTTCTCCAATCCAATCCTTCCTCCGAGAGACTTCCAAAAAGTGACATCGGAGTCCTCTTCAAAAAAGCCCTTGTCAAAGAGACTCTTCATCTCAGCCCGGATCTGCTCGGGATAGCCATTGGCATCCCCTAGGAAGCCGTCCACCTGGCGGGCTCTTTGAACCCTAGGGATCCAGGTAAGGTTGGTGTATCTATGCACCATCTCTTGCAGATTTGTTCCTGACAAGCAGCTAGCAAGGGTTCAGGAACGCTCTGAAGCTCCTTGGTTCCCTGTTTCAAGGGGAATACGGGTACCCCCGGCTCCTAATCGGCCCCCTCCTAAGCACTAGCGATGATCGCTGATCGCACGACTTCAACGGGACAAGCCTGGGAATAGCCATACTGGTCCAGTTGTCTGAGAATGGGCTGCATGTTGCTCAGCACCACGTAAGAGACTCGTGATCCGATTTGAGTCGACCGGATGTCCTGCTTCTGCTCCTCACGGGTTCAAGCTGGTGCTCTGAGGATATTCATTCATACATGCAAGCTGAGGGCAAAACAGCTGTCTTCCCTCTGGAGCAGCCTATGGAGCAACCTGCAAGAGGCATATCTGACCCTCAAGATGCTACAAGTATGTATCATGGATCGAACCCAAGTCGCGCCTGGGTAAACCAAAGGAACGAGGAAGGTACAAAGGGAGACAAGAAATGATAAGAACTACTCAGAAAAAGTCTGTCAGCCCGTGTGCCAGCTGAAACAATTTATGGTCAGTCTTTCTCAAACATCTGCAGGAACCTGAAACAAAACAAAACACCAGTTGAGAGCTGACTTGAAGCATCGAACTGATTGACAGTCCGCACACACGATTCGTCCGAACCACTGCCCCACGGCCGCATCTTCGCCCTTGATTCGACGAGTCGAGGGATCCCACTGGCGGACTAAACCCTGTTGCCCTTCATCGAGTACCTTCAGACCAGTTCCCCAACACTCCATGACATATTGATCTCCATTGGGTTCATTTCAGAGGGCTAGTACGTAGTGGCCCAGGTCCTACGTTGTCATGCTTTCGTGCCCGGGAGAAAGTCGTGCAAGGCATTCCCAGCCAAACAACTTAACCCGCCCGCTGTGCAAGAAGTGGGTATCCATTCCTTGGGTATATCCTATTCCCTGTAACAGTGAATGATGATGGTTAGTAAAAGCCTTTCTCTAAAATAGTAATGATTGTTTATACCGACTGTTGAGGGTAATAGGACCAGGACATCCCCAATCCATTCCACACAGTTGGAGCGATATTTTTTGGGGGGTCCCCAGTTCGAAAGCTTGCTTGGCGCATCACCCCCGCCGCTCGGTCGCTAGGTCCTCAGCCATAGGTGTCGGTCCGAAACTCGCCCAAAGCCGCACCACATGGCGCCGCGTGCCACGGCGAAAGGCCCAGGGCACCAGAGCCAACGCCAAGTGAAGCGGTCCTGGGTGACCAAAGGTTCCAAAGGGGTGGTTGTTGGGGGCCTGGATGGCCCAGACTTTCCCCATCACACACACACATTGGATGGGTCTGAAATTGACTCTTGGTCGCAGAAGCTAGGGGTCATTAATCCTTTTGACGTCATCATCAAGCTTTTTGGCAGCCCGAATTGCACACTTGACCTCCCATGATCAACAAAAATGGCTGCTTCTATGGGAGGGGGAGGACTTGATCCACCACTTTGAGTTCTCCACGACTTCCCCTGCCGTGTGGCTTCTGTTCCACGTCGACGCCCCGGTCCGCGCCGTCCGCAGCGGAGCCCGCGTGGTCCACGTGCGCGGCGCGCAGCTCGGGGGGGTGCGGAGCGAGGTAGGCAGCTCGAGCGCCATGGTTCACGGTGGGCCGACTGAGCCGACCACGGAGATGGAGGGCGCAGGTGGAGAAGAACTCCACGTGCTTGCGTTTGGCGCATAGGAGTCATGCTGTATATATTGGTGGTGAGCCTTCACATATTCTGCTTGAAGAATACTTGTATGTGCCAAACAGTAACATCATGTTATTAATTATGTAAAATGTGGCTGTGTATATGACACAGAAAACAGAGAAACATAGTTATATGCTCACAGTTGTACATGATATTACATATGCAAGCACCAGCCCCGCCAGTTGCTCCAGTGTTCCATCAAGGCGCTGCAAAGCCCTGACAATGCTGGCAAGTCCGGAGGAGCTGGTTCCTGCGCGGAGGAATGCAGCCAGCTTAAGGGGGCCCATATGGTTTCTCAAGATCCTCAGGTAGGAAGGGAGCCGACTTCATCGCCTATCCCATTCACTCCCATTCACATTCCCAGTCTCAACCCTTCAGGGATGATTCAAGCAGGTACCTACCTAGCTTGATCCCTTTCAGACGTTCCCTCCCACTTGCACCTCCCACTGGGGAGGGGTGATGGTGGTTGGGCAAGCCCAGGTCCATCTCGACGCAATCTACTTAGCACCGAGGGCGGTTGCACAGCTGCCTCTGCTGGGTGACCCACCTCCAACTTCCCCTGCCGCGTCCCCTGCCTCGGCCCGGCCGCCGCCTCGGACGCCGCGTCGCCCAGCGCACCGAGTGCAGCAGCTCCCAGGGCGGCCGCGGCAGGTGCGGTGGCCGCGGTGCCCAGGGCGCTGGCTGCAGCGGCGAGGAGACACAGTCCGCGGGCACGGGTGGGCAGCAAGTGGGTCAGGAAGGCCTGATGAGCGAAAGACCCTCGGCCTGACGACACAAGACTCTGGAACAAACTGGACGTGCATGAGGGAAGGCTGAGACAAAGCTAGCTGACAAAACAGCTGGCCTCATTGCTCCAGAACAGCGCGTATGAAAGAGAGTCCAAAGAAGTCAAGCTGACAAAGGACAGCCACAAGCTGGCAGACTGCAAGGCTCCTGCGTGCTCGGCAACACTGGAAGATCTGGAAGATAAGCTTGGGGGCCCACAGAAGCACGCCCAATTCCGTTCTGAACATAGCAATACCGGATGCAATTAAAGCGGACAGCTAGGCCTTCCACAGGTGTCCGTTTGAGGCATACTGTTTGAATATGTATACACATACTTGACTTGGCTCAATATCTACTCATGACTCATGACTCATCACAGTGTTTGTTGCAGTAATTAACTAATTTTCACGCACACACCTTGGTGCTTATACACACCCCAGGCAACATAGTGACTATTGCGAATTAGTCAACTCCACAAATCACCTGACTTGTGTTCCCTACTACAGCCTGGCTTTGGCCTCCAACCGTTCCCGGCGAGGGCCGTGGCTCCTGCCAAAAGTGTCCAAAACCATATCGGTCCAAAGCTCTTCGGGCACCTCAGGCTGGCTCACCTCCAATCCCAACCTGAAAAAGTCCTATTGATGACCGGATATCGGATATGGAATCCAAACGCCGAACTCGCTCCGAGTGCGGGGTGGGGTGATTGGTTTTGATGTATATACCTGGTTCTCAGGGACCCCCACAAAGTTTGGATTGGAGGCTTTGACACCAAAATCATCTGCGGAACGCCTCTTTGGAGCAAAGAGATTCTCTTTGCTCTGGGGGAGGTGGAACAAGACTATGAAACGCATGCATTTCAGTGTCTAGCCAGGTATGACTGTGGCTCTAAGAATGTCCAAACACCTTATTTGAACAAAGGCCATTCACCATCTCCTGAGCCAACAGTGACGGGTGACCTAACTTCACATCCGAGCTGCGGCTTGTGGAGGGACTCCCACGGCAGATCGCTGCCGGGCAGTAAAGCCAGGAGCCCTCGCTGAGACATGCGGCGCAAATGTGGTGAGAAGGGTGGCCGTGAGACATTCTATTTTGTCCTCTCCTAACCTCGATCTATTGTTCAATATTGTTCATATCTTTGAGATGTTTGGAGCGTTTTTGGTGGCAAGTCATTTGCACGAGCTGACACAAAGACTTCTGCATCAACTGAATCATTTTGTGAAAGGCACTCATCCACGTGAGCAGCTTTGTCCAGAAGGTTCATTGGCACTGTGTTACCGTGACACTCTTTCGCTCAGTCTCGGTATCACCTCTCACTACATATGATCGTAGTCCCATCAGAACCATCGCACGTACCACAACAACTACGCTAGGCTGCTAGACCCTATACTACTGCAAGAAAGCAGAGTGACGGAGGCCCTCCCCAAGGGGCAGAATATGTTCTAGATGTGCGCATGTGAATAGACAAAACAATGTGCTTGCGCATGCTTGCCAATGAACATCTTGATCAAATATTGTTTTACTTGTATATCAATGAAATTATATACTATATTATATACTATATATACTATACGTATATACATTGGCAACAAAACACTTGTGATCAATTGTGTCTTGGATTGATTCAGCAATATGCACTTGCAATCAGTCTAGCCTTGAGAGCTCTGTGGACAGTCGGATTGCTTGTTGACCTTCACGATCTGCAGGTGGGGGGCTACCCAGCTTGCCCGAACATGGAGAGTTCTGCTTACACTCCTCGGGATCTCTTGGAATCATCATGGAAATGGAGTTCGCCACCTGTTTGGTATACGGATTTCATTGTTGTCCAAGGAGGTATACTCCATGATGATTCTAGGGACCTCTCGCAACACGAGGCACGATGACACACGATGACATTCCCACCTAGGGCCACTCCTGCTTGAATCATTGATGCAGCCTGGGCGAGTTAGAGCTGATCACGTCGACATGTGGGTGTAGAGGTTGAGGCAATAACACCCATACCTCGTGTCCGACATACTCCAGGGCACAAATCGTTGCAGGTAGGGGCCTATCATATCTCCAAAACCCACGGACAGGATGCTGGAACCAGAAGTCATCAAAAGCCTGTTGAAAGCATGTATCACTTTTGTTGGGTCGATAAGGGCCTCCTCCAGTAGGCCCTTGTCGCTCCGTGACTACTCGAATTCGGCTCTGCTATTTCGCGCATCTTCAAGGTTCGCCAATTGGGTGTTCGATTGATGGTTGCAGAGAATCTACATTCTTCTTACTTCAGGCAGTTCCAAGAAAGAACTGATCAAACTCCAGCTTCTTATCTAGCATGCTTCGCTCTGCCCGGGAGTCACCCATCAAAGAACGAGGCGTTTCATGCGAGCCCTTTCATATCAAACAAGAATTCAGCTTATATGGCTGAGAACATGCTGAAACTATTCCGCTGTGACCCATGTCAGATTCTCCATGGAGTATCTGGTGGTAAGACAAATGCATCCTCCAAAATCTTCCAACCCTTGCTCCCTGTTCCTTCACCAGACCCCTTCCCCACAAGATAACTTCCCCCCTGCAGCTTCATTAGCTCGCTTCCAACAAGTCGCCAGCGCATGGCTCCACGGACTTCCCGACGAACTCCCCGCACTCTGAAAGGAGATGCGAGCCACGGACCTGGCCGCGTCGCACAAACCCGGTGAGGCCACGGACGGAACAGGCCATGCCATGCAGCGAGCGGCCGTGCGAAAGTTCATCCACTGAAGAACTGATGAACTTTCGCATACATATGTTCGAGTCTGAACAGAAGGTTGATGGTTATTGTACTGCATAATGACCACCAAAGGGGAACCTTAAAAGGAACATCGTATGGAGTGATTACAAGAAAGTATAAAAGCTGGAGCATTAAATATGGAAATTAAAACATGTGATTTGCTGTGTGGTTGCACATCACAAGTTTCCACTTGAGAGTCCATTGCTTGAAGGGTTCCTGATGGCTCCTGTGAGCCTTTTGTTGGGGCAAAAGTCTCGGGTTTGGGATCTACAGCCTTCCTTGAAACAAATGACTGGGCTCTAAGATTGCAAGGTGTCAAGGGGTCCAAACCCAAAGGTTTTTGGCTTAAATGAGCTAAACCTGCAATTTCCATCCCTGCCATTTCGGAGGTGAATCGGAACGCCCAAAACCAAGCCCAAGCCCAAAGATTAAGGATGCGCAAGCTGCAAGAAGACGTAGGACTCCAATAAGATCACCTGGATCAGTGCACGGACAAGGGTCGTTTCTCCGTTTCAATCCCGGTTGTCATCGGGTCGGATGTGAACAGGCATCTCTGGCCACGGACAACGTCGGGGATTCCCTTCAAAAATGGTTCATAAAGGATTCGGTTCAAGAAATCGGGATAGGTTGTCATACTGCAGACGTTGGAGGGGATCACCTATACATGATGAACATCAAATAAGGTCTTCAAGATGTCCGGGTGCCCATCCAGACTTGCCATCTCACTCCAGACGTGATCTTTTGGCTCCAGGCCACTTCAACACTATTGACCTCCAACGCCCAGCGCAAGTTGGCGCTGCGCCACGGTGCGCTCCGTGGAACGGCCAGTGCTTTGCGGAACAGGTTTCGCCAGCGGCTGGAGTGGCGCACGAGGAAGGCCACAAGGAAGAGAAGAAGGATGACCTGAAGAACTTTTTCCGCTACTACATTGCAGGCCTATACTAGGTTGGAGGCCATGGATCTGTCCAACAAAATCAACAAACATGGAAGATTATGGAAGTGTACCAATGATAACATTTGACGATCATCCAACCCTCCATGTTTACCCGGGGTGAGGCATTCTGAGATGAGTGACATGATTTCTGGATTCTTACTCTCATTTGAGCTTGATATGACCCACAGGGTCATCTTCCTTATTGCTTTGGCATTGCTCTCTTCAAGGGTCTTTCGAAACACCTTCAATCTGGAGATTCAATCTGCTAGCACCAATACCTGGTCACTGAAGGTAATTGTAATGCTGGATGCCTTGGATATTGTTCTAGGCTTGCAGCATCATCAGTTTCCTGTGCACTTTGGTGTTTGTGTGAGTGTGCATCCGCCAGTCACCCAAGTCACCACACAATTCTATAATACTTATAGTAGCTACAAATAAAACTACACAAAGATATATATATAGAGAGAGAAATATCG